TTTTACATGTTAAAAGCCTTGTTCGAAAATGCGCCGCCGAAAGCCGATTACGCGGCAAAAATTCGTTCGGCGGCTCTCCACCATCGGGATTATACCCTATTCGCTACAAAAATCGGAACTTTAAAAAAAACTTCAGAATTTTATTTGATTTCAGTCATAAATCGATATATAAAGTGTTTTGTTTTTGTCTAAATGTTAAGATTTATAACGCTTGATGTCTTGAATGTAAGATCCATGCCGTTGCTGCCGGTAATATCATAGGTGGAGCCAACCAAATTCTTGATGCAAAAGGGACCCACATCGCAGTCATGAAGGGACATTCAAAAAACAAGTGATCATGGCTTTCTATTCCCCTAGTGCATAAGACACAAGTAGAGGGAACATTGAGTCCCCAACTTCTGAGCCTATCTCTAGTCAGTAAACGAGCCTTAATAGCAAGCCAAGTAGTAAAAGCATGTCTTGGGACAGCCTCTTTACTCCACACAACTTTACACCAAGGAACTCGAGGAGATTGATCTCGCAATTGTTCTCAAGAATCTTTAGAAGAGAATGTAGGTGAGAACTGTGGGAGTCGGATCTGCACAGTTAAATTTGTCAAGGGTGTTTGGAGATTAGAGATTCTATGTCGCGGACACGTTTCGAACAAAGACTGAGAATAAGAATTCTTTATTGATGTTTCTGTTAAACTAAGTTTCTCTGCCAAAAGTTCTGAACCCCTTTTTGGGTGAGTACACTGAGATGTATATAGTGTTTAAGTAAGTGGGCCAACTAATAAAATGGGCTTGATCCATTAAGCAATATATCTACTTTAGGCCCATAATTTCATTAAGCCCATTTTGATTATGGGTCTAATGTCATTTTGGGACTAGATTCAGACTGGGTCCTTGCAGACTTGATCCGATTTCGTCAGGACGTTGAAGAGTTGATCTCGTCGTTATATCGATCTTATAGGGGAGAATTCCTACCCATACAAGAACGTACCAGATGGTTTTCGTCATAGGAAGACATCAGAACCTCTTGACTCTTCAAGAGGAGCTATGGTTGTGAGAGTGAGCAAGAAAGTCTGCGCTCTCTCAGATCTTGCCCCCGGCATTCTCCAACCGTCATTCCGTGTGGCCTCAATCACACGGGCGTCTTTTCTAATTCGTTGCTGCCTTGAACCAATTTCACCAATATAATCAATGAGATGGCCCAATTCAGTCCATGAGTCATACCAAAAGGAAGCATGCTTCCCATCTCTCAACTCGCAACGGAGGAAATTTTTCAGAATCGGTTTGAGATTGAGCATATTTCTAATGGTGCGAGAGAAGCGAGGGGAGTCCTCGGTTACTCAGAGGAGGAAATCGATATATAGTTAGTAGATCTATCATATTTGGAAGTATAATAACGAAAAAAGCAAGAAGAAATCATGAAAACAGTGAAGAAATCATGAAGAAGACGATTATGGTTTTCAGATTTTGCTGCTCTGTGAAGAAGACGGGGTCATTTTACATTCATTAATGCGAAATTGAAAAGAAAAAAAAAATATAGAAAAAACGCGTCCATTTGTACTCGAACTCGTAAACAGGGCTTGGCGACAGAGACAATATAGGCCATGACAGCCACTGAACTACGGAAGTTCATCTCTAAATTTAATATATAAACCCATATAT